CATGATGCTAAGTTATCAGCATGATATCAGCATGTTATCAACATGATGCTAAGTTATCAGCATGTCTCTACAGGTTATACCGTAGAGACAGTTTAGCATGATGCTATGTTATCAGAGCTAACATCATAAGGTTATACTGAAGAGACAGGTTAGCATGATGCTATGTTATCAGTGCTAACATCATCAGGTTATACTGTAGAGACAGGTTAGCATGATGCTATGGTATCAGTGCTAACATCCTCAGCTTAGCATGATGCTAAGCTATCAGAGTTGTGTTGTCACTGCTCACCCTGAGGTAGTCAAGCAGTTTTCCGTCCGTCTTTCGAAGCCCCACCCACTGGGCGGGGTCAACTGGACCAGAGTACAAAACAGAGCGAGACAGGTCGGTGCTGGAGTTACCTGGCTACAGAGAGACAGACGGGTATGATACCGTTACAGGAGGTTTTTAAACTGTGAGCCACCTCATATGGAGGAGGTTAGACAAAGATACTGGTGGTGGGGGGGCATGAGGCTGACAGACAGACAGACAGACAGATATACAGGTGTTTGACTTGTTTAGATAGACGGATATAGAGACACAGAGATATCGTTGCCGTTGTTACCACGGTGCAGTTGGAGGAGTATCTGATGGGCTGGACGATGTTGAGTTGGTACAACATCTTACAGACGGTCACCACACAGGTCCAAACTGTACAGACTCCTGACAGCAGGGGGCGCCACGCCCTACAGGGCAGAGCCCCGCCCACACACAGCACGAATAGCAGGTTAAACACGCACACCTGTAGAGGGACAGACAGGTTCATCAGACACACCAACAGAGAGACAGACAGGCTCCACACGCACCTGTAGAGAGACAGACAGGTTCATCATACACCCCTGTAGAGAGATAGACAGGCTCAACACACACACACACCTGTAGAGAGACAGACAGGTTCAACACACACACCTGCAAAGAGATGAACAGGTTCAAAACACACACCTGCAGAGAGACAGGTCAAACTGACAGATAGACAGATAGACACTGACCTCCTTCACAGAGACCCAGATGATGTAGGAGGAGACGATCTTGACTATGTGGAGTTCCAGGAGCCACCAGAGGAGGTGCTGCAGGCGCTGCAAGGAGAGGAGGAGGCGCAGGAACAAAACAGAGAGACGATCCACCACCAGCCTCCAGGAGACCAGCACTGAGGAGGAGAGACCAGGAGTCAACTTGCTGTATGGAACTCAACTATTCTGATACAGGTGTGACGATGACGATGCAGTTACCTTTAATATGGTCGGACAGGGTTTCCCTCTCAAACACACAGGTGTACTCCTCCTCTTTTATCCATTTCTCTTCTGTCTCCTCCTCTCTCTCCCTTTGTCCTCCGCTCTTCTCTGCCTCCAGGAGGAGCTGAGGAGCTCCACACACCGACAGGTCGAACAGGCTACCCTCAGAGTGGACCAACCTGCAGAGAGAGAGACACTAGAGGTATGGGAACTATCTACAGAAGTATGGGAACTATTTGCAGAGGTATGGGAACTATCTACAGAGGTATGGGAACTATCTGCAGAGGTATGGGAACTATCTACAGAGGTATGGGAACTATCTGCAGAGGTATGGGAACTATCTGCAGAGGTGAGGGAACTATCTACAGAGGTATGGGAACTGTCTGCAGAGGTATGGGAGCTATCTATAGAGGTACGGGAACTGTCTGCAGAGGTATGGGAACTGTCTGCAGAGGTATGGGAACTGTCTACAGAGGTATGGGAACTGTCTACAGAGGTACGGGGACTATGCAGAGGTATGGGAACTATCTGCAGAGGTACGGGAACTATCTGCAGAGGTGCGAGAACTATCTGCAGAGGTACGGGAACTATCTGCAGAGGTGCGAGAACTATCTGCAGAGGTCTGAGGACCAGCTGCAGAGGTATGGGAACTATCAGGGGACTAGTTGTAGAGGTCTGAGTACTTAGTAGTTGTCAGAGATTTCTGATTGATCAGCAGATATAGGATATCTGGACAATGATTGGATAGAATAGGCCAAATGTTGTTAAGGTGCTCATCTGTGACCTCTGACTGGCAGGTAGAGTTGTGTGTTACCTGGTGATGGTGCTGTTGTGTGTGTCCACCACAGTCTTCAGGTCGGTCAGCTGCAGGAATGGTTTGTGGAAGTAATGCAGGTGTACAATGCACACCTGCAGAACAAGGTTAAGAGTCAACTTTCACATCACATTTAACAGGACGTTTCTGTAGAAACATGTAAAAAGTACCAAAAGGAACGCAGCAGGGATGAAGATCCTGGTGAAGAGAACAGGAACTGAGAACTTCTCCAACCCAACATCCTCCAACCTGGACAGATAATAACAACATTAGAGACAGTGGAGACAGCAGAGATATTAATCACAGTAGAGACAGTGAGTACCCATGTGTCTCATTGTGTATCTTTGTGTACCTAAGTGCATTCATGTGTATCTTTGCTTACCTATGTGTACTAGTTTGTATCTTTGAGTACCTGTGTATACGCATTTGTATCTTTGAGTATTTGTTTGTACTTGTTTGTATCTTTGAGTATTTGTTTGTACTTGTTTGTATCTTTGAGTACCTGTGTGTACTTAATCCAGTGTAGTAGCTCCAGGTGTGGAGGGACGAGGGGAACTGGAAGGTGTAGACCAGGATGAGGACCAACATGGAGTAAACCACCACGGCTACCCAGAAACCCCTGAGCATGGCACGCCAACGCTCATAGTTCAACTACAGAGAGGTACAGGTAGAGAGACAGTGAGACAGGTAGGTAGATGCTGTAAGACATCAGCTTTCTTTCCTCTACTTTCAAGAAGAATCTGATGTGTCACCTTCCAAAGATCCAATCAGTGATGCAAACCAAACTGTAGCCCCGCCCACCACCATGATTCAAGACCCAGGATTGGATGATTCAAAGTAGTACAGTGGTATTTAAGATTCAACGTAGTACAGTAGTGCTATAAGATTCAAAGTATTACATTAGTAGTATAAGTACATAAGTACATTAAGTCACAGCTTGACAGAGTCCTGAGTTTCAAAACTCATGTGACTTGAGACCAGGTTTTAAGTGTATTCAGTAGTAGTACCATATATAATATATAAGTACAGTGATAGTACTTGTAGTACTTACAGTACTTGCAGTATTACCTGGTACAGGGCGACGCAGCAGAGGAACATGACCATGTAGATGACTTTGTAGAGGACGATTTTTCCTTCAAAACTAACGAAGAAGAACATTGTTCCACAGACGTAGATCCAGTATTTAACAAACATCCTGGTAACCACAGCAACCAGAGCCTCCAACTTGACTCCTCCTCCTCCTGTGTGCAGGAGCAGCACCTCCTCATAGGACATCTCCTTCTTCTCCTCCTCTAACGGACGTAAAACAACAAGAGTCACACCGACAGGTGAGCAGTGAGACAGGCTGGTCAGTGAGACGGGTTGTCTTACCCTCCATGTGGACGGTGATGTTAGACAGCTGTGTGTCTGCCTGTCTGTCTTTCTGTCTGTCTCTCTTCTCAGTTAGCGCCTGACGCAGCAGCAGCCAGAAGGTCAACAGACACAACAACTGTAACAACAACAACAACTGTAACAACAACAATAACTGTAACAACAACTGTAACAACAACTGTAACAACAACACGTCAGATTTAACATTAGCAGTAGTAGTAGCAGTAGTAGTACCTTGGAGGCCAGCTCCCTACAGGGATCCTCTTTCCTAGGGAACAGTCCCGGTACTTCCTGGATTGAGGGGAAGCTGTAGACATACTGCATGATGACCAGCAGGTTGCCGTAGGCAACCAGCCAGGGCGATGACATCAGTGTGTAGCGGCGACGCTCTCGCATCATCCAGAGGACACACGACCACAGCAGCAGGACACACGTCAGCCAGGACACGTAGGTGATGGGCCACGCCATCATGGAGATCAGAGCACAGATGTAGCTCTGTTTGAGGAGGAAGCTGAACGCCATGGACGCAGCACTGACTCCCTCCTCATCCTCCCTCCTCCTCCTCTCCTCCACCTCTTCCTCCTCATCTCTCCTCCTCTCCTCCTCCTCCTCCTCCCATCGGTGTCCTTCAAACACACACGTCTCCAACGTGTCTACAGCATCAAACACACAGAACAGAACCAGCGTCATGGCATCATCATCACACCTGTACTTGTCTGTCCTGTGACATCATCATCACACCTGTACCTCTCTGTCCTATGACATCATCATCACACCTGTCTGTCCTACAGGACACCTGTCTACAGTCAGCGCTTAAGTATCCTGATAAAACAGGTGGAGTGAGGACTCTTCAGGTCGTTCAGTGACTCTGAACAGCTAAACAAACTGACCTGATTGGCTCAGAGAGTAGTGAGGCGTGGAGTAAACATCCAATCCAAGGGCTGTGCTCTGGGTGGGCAGGGCAAAGGAGTCAGAGGGACTGTCATTGGTGGATGACACCTTGAGACGGACCCAGAGAGAGTATTCATGAACCAATTAAAATAATAAATAAATTAAAACAAAATAATATTTGGTGTTTCCGTACGTCTCTGCACTCGGGACGGTCATGAGCTCTCCTCCACAGCTCCCTCCGTCTCTCCGCTGTGATGTCACCGCTGACCTCATCGCTCAGGTTGCTGGTGGAGGTGATGACGTCACAGCTCATGCTGATCGCCGACTCCGCCCTCTCTACGCCCCCCCACCACCACCCAACGCCGTCGATCAGCTGCAGAAACATGTGACACCCGTCAGCCAATCAGAGCAGAGGAGCGTTTGTTTGTGAAGTTATTCAAGTTTTAAGACCTTATAGGAGTTCACCTCTGCCTACATATGTTTGGAACATATCATACTTATTTAGTTTTAAACTTTGCTGTTCATGTTTACTATTTATTTTATTGGTTCTTCTTTTTTTCTTATTATTTGTAACATGTTTGAAATAAATGCAGTGACATAAAGTGACGTCATACTGCAACATCATGACTAGATGACATCATACACAGACATTACAACATGCCCTGTGATGTCATCGCTGTTGAGTGATCACCTGGTTCCTCCACAGAGTAGCCACAGTGTTGTAGAGTAGCAGCAGCATCAGAGGACTGGTGACGTGGAACCAGCTGAGCTCAGAGTTCACCTGCATCCTCCAGGGGGCGGAGCAGTCCACGGAGACCACCGGCAGCAGGCCAAACACACTGCACGGGACACAATCAATAGAGCAATCAATCCATCAAACTATTGATAACTGACTCCAGACCTGTTGTTAGTTTACAGCAACATGTTGTTATGAAGAGAGTCTGTGTTTAACTCAACCTGTAATTACATTACATTACAGTCATTTAGCCATTTAGGTGGTGTGTTACATGGTGGTGTGTTAACTGGTGGTGTGTTACATGGTGGTGTGTTACATGGTGGTGTGTTACATGGTGGATGTGTTACCTGGTGGATGTGTGTTTCATGGAGGTGTGTAATATGGTGGAAGTGTGTTACCTGGCGGAGGTGCGGTTCGGGGGCCACACCTCCTGCAGGGAGGGCAGCTGGTAACAGTAGAGGAGCAGGAAATGGGATGAGGAGTAGAGCAGTGACATCACAGACACAGACCTGAAGAGGAGGGGCGGGACCTGACCTGACCACGCCCACCAGGTGCACAACACCTGGAAACAGAAGAGGTAGGGGAGGGAGGAGAGAGAGGGGAACACGATACCTGGAGAGGAAGAGGAAGAAGAGAGGAAGAAGAGAGGAAGAGGAGAGATGACTTCTCTTCACAAAGAAGAACTTCCTCATTCTGGTCCAGAAATAGCAAAGTGGTTCACAGTCTTCACTGATGGAAGTCTGACCATCAAGACCAGTTTGAGCTTCAAAACCAAGTTTCTGATGGGTTCTACTGGTTACCTTCAAATATCTACTGGGTTCTACTGGTTACCTTCAAATACTCTACTGGGTTCTACTGGTTACCTTCAAATATATACTGGGTTCTACTGGTTACCTTAAAAAACTCTACTGGGTTCTACTGGTTACCTTCAAATATCTACTGGGTTCTACTGGTTACCTTCAAATACTCTACTGGGTTCTACTGGTTACCTTCAAATATCTACTGGGTTCAACTGGTTACCTGAAAGTACTCTACTGGGTTCTACTGGTTACCGTAAAGTACTCTACTGGGTTCTACTGGTTACCTTCAAATATCTACTGGGTTCTACTGGTTACCTTAAAGTACTCTACTGGGTTTTACCGGTTACCTTAAAGTACTCTACTGGGTTCTACTGGTTACAGTAAAGTACTCTACTGGGTTCTACTGGTTACCTTAAAGTACTCTGATGGGTTCTACTGGTTACCGTAAAGTACTCTACTGGGTTCTACTGATTACCTTAAAGTACTCTACTGGGTTCTGCTTGTTACCGTAAAGTATTCTACTGGGTTCTACTGGTTACCTTAAAGTACTCTACTGGGTTCTACTGGTTACCGTAAAGTACTCTACTGGGTTCTACTGGTTAACGTAAAATACTCTACTGGGTTCTACTGGTTACCTGTGAGTCCCAGTAGGACCGTCACCAGGACTTTTCCTCCAGTCGTTGTCATGTTTCCCATCATCCTCCTGGTCTTACACATCAGTAACTCCAGTTCAACCAGAACCCTGTTTCTGCTGCTCTCCTCCTCCTCCTCCTCCTCCTCCTCCTGTCCGAGCACAGAGTCCTCCTCAAACATCAGCTCCTCCTGCGTCTCCTCCTCCTGCTGAGGCTGAAACACACACAGAGACATTTAGTTCTTCTTCTACTTCTATACAAACATCTAAACTCATCACATATCACCTGAACATTCACATATAATGTAAAACAATAGAATCAATATCTGTTTGTCCACCTGTGGACATCTTCGTCCTCCAGCTGGCCGAGGAGGAAGAGCAGGAAGAGGAGGAGGAGGAGGAAGAGCAGGAAGAGGAGGAGGAGGAAGATGAGGAGGAGGAGGACTTCATGGTCTGGTTTCATGTTAACAAACAGACTCCGACAGTTCAGCTAATAAACTAATTGAACCTGAAACCTAATCATTATATGTGTGTGTGTGTGTGTGTGTGTGTGTCCTGATGTAGTCACATAATGAGGTTACATTTAATAAATAGCTTACTGAGTTACACACTAATAGACAGGAAACCTCGTTAAGAAACAAGAGGAGACGACTTAACCCGCTTACACCTGCTTCATTAGTGTGTCTGTGTGTGTGTGTGTGTGTGTGTGTGTGTGTGTGTGTGAGTGAGTGT